TGCTCTTACTGGTGCAATGTGCAATCAATGAAGACTGGCTACCAGGCTGGTCCAATTTAGCCATGAAACCTCCCACACTAAAATGACAGGTGTTTCAGTTTCATTGTCCAACCCCTGTATATGTGCTGTCTTTTATACTCTAGACTTGAAAACGAGCTCAGAGCTTATCTGTTTAGCTCTGTTTCCCTCCTAGATGAAGCCACCAAAGGAGCTACTACTACCTTTAACATTTTAACTTTCTTTCCCATAGAAAGTATTCCTGGATCAGTGCTTCTGTGTTATTTTTGTGTCTATGCTCTGCCCTCTCAAACCCCCAATCCGTTGTCAATAGGAATATATGTAGTTGCCTTAGTTGACTTGTATGATTCGACTGAACTGACTTTGTAAAGTGCCTTAAGATGACATGTGTTATGGATTGGCTCTATATAAATAAACTGAATTGAATTAGTGAACAAACAATATCATTAACACCAAGGAACCATGAAGACCAAGGAGAAGTTTAAATTATGATAAAGTTAAATAAGGTCATGCCAGGCATTGAACATTTGTGGAAATCATTATGGAAAAGTGGCAAGGAAAAACATTATTGAAAAAGCCATAAGAAGTCCTATGTGTGGTTGGAGACTAACACTGTACATTACCCTGAACACACCATCCCCATGCTGAAACATGCTGGGAGCAGCACCATGCTGTACAGCTGCTTTTTTTAAGTACAGATAGGGAGTTGGTGGAAAGATTTAATTAAATCCATACCTAAACACTGGGCAGTCCAAGCAAGAAAACCTGCAAAAACTTGAGAGTGTGGCAGAGGTTCGTATTCCAGCAGGACAATGATGCTAAGCATAGGGCAGAATTTTGAGCTATTTTACATAGAAGAAAAAGGGATTTTTTGTCTCTACATGTGCAAAGTTTTTAGAGAAATATTTCAAAAGACTGCAAGGGAGACTGAATAGGCCACAATATTCAGATCTTCATTTGTAACAAACATTTGAAATCAAATATAATTTTCCTTCCATATTATAATGAACAAGTTTGTGTTGACCTATCACATGAAATCCCAATAAGATATACTAGTGTTAGTTAAAATGTCAACAGGTTTGAGTATTTTGGCAAACCTTTTTAAATCTCTCTTGCAATGAGGATATTGATAAAGCACAATCCTCCGTCAGATATTAGATTAAACAGCACTTGAAAGGGAAGCAACGGCATAAACCATAATGTTTCATGCTCGGTTTCACAGTCTGAGGATACATTTTCATGTTCAGAAATGGCTGGAAACCTTGCATTGTAACAGTGCTTGTATACCAAACAGAAATACCTCATATGTGGACAATGTAAAAAAGGGAAGGGATCAATGATTCCATTGTTAGTCTAACTTCTCTTTTCTCTAAAACCCTGAATGATAAAGCAAACTTTAAACCCCACTTTGATATCATCTTTCCCAGATGTGGAGTCATTTCTTTTGTTTTTTGATAAATATTGCTGATAAACTAGATTTTTTTCACAGCTTGTTTCTGGTTACAGCAAACAGGAATATATCACTTTAGTACTGAGTCACAATAAAAATGATCTCATCTTTACCAGGTTCTGAATATATTTATATCTAACTTCAAGTGCACAAATACACACCACAGGTTCCACAGGGCAATATTTTACGAAAGAAAAAAGGCAAAATAATAGAGTGCACCTTTGCTTCTTTCATTGATTTACGAGAATCAGCAAGTGTGACCACCTCTCTTAAACTGGGACTTTTTTGTAGTTTGCTGGTCTGGAGCACACAAGTGTGTGTTAACACAATGCGAGGGTAGAAGAACACTAGCAGTGACTGTTGCTGCCCTTCAATCTAGAAAGGGTTCATTTGAATCCATCATTCCACATGAGGAAACAATATTCACAGGTGGACAACTGTAAAGCCAGCTGCCAATCTTCAAAGGAATTAATATTTAAGCTAATAAAACTATATCTAAACCACAACAGCTCAATCTCAGACCCTACAGGCCACAGTCACTAGGTCAAATGTAATAGTTCATGACAGGACAATTAAAAAATACTGAACTGGTACAGCATACTTGGAAGTTGTCAGGAGCAGGATTTACATTTGGAAAGTTGCACCTGAATCAGCCACAAGATTTCTGGAATAATGTCATTTGGAGCGATGGGTCCAAAGTGGAGATGTCTGGCCATAATGCACAGCATCATGTTTAGCAAATACAGTATATTAGGACAAACATCCCATTCAGATGTTGAGAACAGTGTTAGAGGGCTGATGATTTAGGCATGGTTTGCAGCCACAAGACTAGGGCACCTTGCGATCATTAAGTAGACCCCATGCTCCTCTGCATAACGAAATCTCTATACTCAAAAATGAGATAGAGACTTTACTAAGTTTCAGCTAATGCTTAAGTGAAACTGAGTCATCATCAGGGCAACGATCTTAAACACAGCAGCAACTCTCCAAAAGAATGATTGAAAACAATAGAGGTATTGCAGTGGCTCAGTCAAAGTCCCAACCTCATGCTGCTTGACAGGTTGTGAAGAGACCTTTACAGAGCTGTGTGGAAACCAATTCCTCCAAAGCCTGATAAACTGGAGAAACTATGGAAAAAACTGTGGAACATACATTCTGGAGAATATGTGCTTTTCTACACTAAAGGGTAGATCCAAACATTTCAGAACTTGATGATTCTTATGTCTTGGTTGATCTTGATCTTTTGTAGATTTCTGTAACTATTGTGCCATGACAGTGTAGCATTTTGACTGAAGTCACATTAGCACTGGTGTAACAAAAGCTGCTTCTCAGATAGGGGCATATGTAGAGAGAGAAGAGGATAAATAAAAATTTTTTGAGCATTTATTTTGAAACTAAAATATTGACACAGATTTAATGCCTCAAATTCCCATTTCCTTTCAAATTAATTTAAATAAACTGCATTTTTCAGTGACAGCATTTGTCAAGTTAGGGTTTAAGATTAGTCTAAAATAATCACTGTGGATTTTGCACAGGATTCAACATTTTTTGTTTATTTCTTATTTGGAACTACCGTGACAGTGCATGTACTTAACTTAAAAATGCTTTAGTATATACCATAGCAGCAGAGTGACAGATCCAACAATACTTTATACAACGTGTGTGTGTATATTTTTTCCTGCTGCAAATAACAGATTTCTGTAATGCAGGAAAAAGACTGAAGCACCATCTTTTCCCTGCATTACAGAAATCTTGTGTGAAGGAAGAAGACATGATTTAAACATTTTGTTTTATCTTTGTATTTACTGTTAAAGCCACATAAGCTGTATGGGTGACAGCATTGCATGACATATTTATTTTATTTTTCAGGGACCTATTGTTTTGTGGACTTCCTTTTTTTGCATTCATGTAGTACAGGTTATTGCACCTTGAATGTTTACACATTTTGTTATGTTACAAAAACTTTGAAGAACCAGTTTTTGCTACAATAACAGCTACAATTCATTTACAGTATGTCTCTATCAGCTTCACACATCCAGACTGAAATTTTTGCCCATTCTTCTTTGTAAAACAGCTCAGGTTCAGTTGGTTTAAATGGTGAGCACCAGTTTGTCATGGAGTCTCAGTTGGATTTTATGCCTGGACTTTGACTGGGCCTTTCTAGCATAAATACTCTTTGATCTATACTCTTCCATTATGGCTCAGTCTGTATGTTTATGATCGTGTTGTTCTCCTTCCACTTCACAATTGTGCACTTCTTTGTGTTGGGATGTTATGTGATAGACCAAAATGTTGTGTGGCTCAGTGGGAAGAGTAGTTGTCTTGCAATCCAAAAGTTGTTGGTTAGATTCCTGCTTCTTCCTGTGACACGACAATGTATCGACCCCGGCAAGGAACTTAACACAAAGTTGCCTACCAATCTGTGTATCAGTGTATAAATGTGTGTGCATTAGTGAGTGTAAATGTGCAGATAGTAGATTAGTAGATTTCTAGTTGCAGTATGATTAGAAAAGTGCTTCATAAATTTGATCAATTTACCATTTACGAGAGATAAATTAATGATGAGATGAATTAAATTTTGTCATTGGAATCTGACAGAATGTGGAAAAGTTCAAGGTCTGAGTACTTATGCAAGGCCCTATACATCTTCCTGTCTCCTTGGACTATGGTCATTCCACTGTAAAGCCAAGAATGTGTGTGCCTGATTTGTTTATTCATACCTCACAGAGAGACGAAGGAAACCTTGCTGTTGTGTCTAAGTCAACATATGATGTATCCAAAGGTCAGACATTACAAGGTGAAAGTGTCACCAGGCATTAGTGGCCAGCTTTTAAATAACATGCAACTGGAGTGTGCGCAGTATGCAGATGGTCCAAGCATCCTGCTACTGTCACTTACGGAGAACACAGAGTCAAGGAGAAAGGGAAGAAAATTCATGAAAGGCTGCAAGCAGATGTGTGAAAAATCATCAAACAACAAGGGCTCTGCAATAGCACAAAAGCAAATGTATTATTTTTTGAGACGTTTCTTAGTATTTGTTTGTCTGAATTATGATTTTCAATACACATCAGAGGAGCAGTATAACCCTGTAGACATTTTTATGTGACTGGACACACTATGAAATCATGCAAATTACAGATAAAAATGAGGATACTAGGTCAGTTACTACAGCTGAAATCTGTGTATAATGATGGGACTCAGACCTGAACCTTTAGGGGCACATAAGGACAATTATTAAGTCTGCCTTCTATCAACTAAAGAACACTTTCAGGATTAAAGGACTAATGTCCAGGCAGGATCTTGAAAAACTAATTTACATGTTTATTTTTAGTGAAATTTATTTCAACCTGGAAAGACTCACAAATGACAGAAACACAGAGATGGCAATTAGAGGAGTTTATTAGCTGATGTTTGTTTTCTTTTGGAATGTTGGTTAGCATGAATGATGTGAGATTGATAAGTGAATGGTAGATGTGACGAGATCAGAATAATACGAGGAGAAGATCAAACTGACTGTGAATGGAAATGTTAAGAGCCTTACAAGGCATGAGAAGGAATGATTAGAGCCTGAAGGAGTGAAAGAAGATGGACAGAGTTTAACGAGGTGCAGGATGGATGGAATAGCCTGCAAAAGCATAGAGAGTGATGAATGTGCCTGCTAAGGCATGAGAATGATGAATTGATCCTGCCAAGGCGTAATGAGGTTGAATTGTACCTGCTAAGGAATTGAGAATGATTAGTGTGCCTGCCAAGGCATGAGAGGGATAAGTCATGCCTGCCAAGGCGTAGAGAGGGATGGATTGTGCCTGCCAAGGCGTAGAGAGGGGACAGTACCTGCTAGGATAAAGAAATAGATGGAATAGAATGTGCCTGCTAAGGCGTGGAGAGGGATGAACGGTAACTGCCAAGGCTGCTGAGGAGTCTAGATGAATAAATTAAGCTTGTTAAAGCGTAGTTAAAGATGGATAGAGCCTGCTAAGGCGTGGAGAGAGGTATGAACTGAGCCTGACAAGGTGTAGCTGAGGAATGATCTAGAGGAAGCAAATGTAATCATGACTATATCTGTTATGGGGAAAAATGAAGTGATGACTTCTATGAAGAGATGTGGAAGATAATGAACGGTAACTGCTGCTGACAGATGATGAAGGATGAAAACCTTGAGGAGACTGGGAGTAAGAATAATGAGGTTTGATGAAACGGGCTCACGTGGAACGGTTAGATCAATATTGTGAAAAGGCCAACCACCAGCAGTTAATGCGGGAAGTTTTTACCAAAGAGCAGAGAGATCGTTGAGCAGCTAGCACAGAGTGGACGTCTGGATTAACATAGGAAGAAAAAGCTGAGGATGACCAACGGCCAAGTTGTTGGAGGAATGCTGTTGAGACTCTTTGGGTGGCTGCTGTAGTGGCAGCCCCGATTCGAAATGAATGACCTGAAAACTGACTAGGGGGCAGATTGCATTGAGCTAAAATTTGCCTCAGAATTTTGAGGAACCAAGAGGAGGACATGGGGGCTCCTTCTGGAGTGAGAAAAAGGGGCATACTGGACGAGCTGATTTTGTGGCGTTTGAGAGCAAAAGTGAACATGGCTTGAAAAGGAAAAAACGGGCCGTCTAGGCGAGCAATGGAAATGAAACATGAACCTTTACCTTTGGTGTGTTTGAGGTAAAGTTTAAAATTGTCTGGATAGAACTTGAGGTCTGAAAAGGCTAAATCTCTAGAAGGATCGAATTAATTAGAAGGAGAAGAAAATTCGCTTAGTCTAAGAAAGCCGTAGAAGGCGAGGAGGAAGGCACTGGACAGAAGAGATTTTACATAAGGTGAAAAAGGGCCGTAGCGAAGGGTCATAAGAAGATAAGTGTAATAGGTCTCCTTCAGGTCTCCTCCAGCCCCTCCAGCCTGAGGAGCGGGAGGAATGATGGTAGGAGAAAATGCTGCAGCAGACGGACCGGTAGGTGTGGGAGCGGGAGCTGGAGTGAAAGCTGGGAGACCTCTACGACGCTTCACAGGAGGATTAGCGGATTTTTTTGAGGCGTTTTCCTGAGGAGGTGGATGGTGGAAAGGGAGAAGTATGATGGTGAGGCAGGAGCTCAGCGAGTTGAATGAGGTGTGAAGGATCTAAGTCTGAACCAGGAGATATACCCCTCGCTCTAAGCTGAGACGAAGGGGACAGATTGACGTGGTGGGAGGCCAAGATAGTGCTCCTGTGGGTAGAAGAGGAGGAAGGTGAGTGAGGATCCGACACAAGACATTGTGAGGAACCGGCCAGATCTCGGACTCGTAGTCTGACATTATGCGCTGAAATCGAAGCTCATCAGCTGAAGAGCAGGAGTGTAGGAAGGTCTTTTAAAGCGAAGCCTGGAGCGATGATTGGCTGAAGAGCAATGTGGATCAGGGGCTGATTGGTTGGAGCAGAGAATGTCATGGAGTAGTTAGACGAAGCCAGAAGTGGAGGTGAGTCTTCCAAGTTGAATTTTCGTCAAAACTCCATTATTACAACAGTGTCTTCACAGGTTTCCGTAAAAAGTCAATCAAACAGTTGCAGCTGATCCAGAACGCTGCCGCCTTTGTCCTCACTAAAACTAAGAAACCAAAGCTCCACTAATATGGTGTCAGGATCTGTGCCTTGTCTGTTTGTTTGGTGTTTTTTCTGTGCTTAGCCCCTAGATGGCGTGGAACCTGGAGGAGAGGTGACAGGTGTTCATCATTCCCTTGATTACCTGCTGAGGAGTATATTAGGAGGAGGCTGCCAGCAACTCACTGCCAGAGTGTTGTCCCTTAGTGGATTACCAGAACCTGACCTTGCCTTTTCGTGTGGAACTCTGCCTGGATTAACCACTTCTGGAAAGAAGCTATCCAGCTCCATGAACAAAGACTCTAGCCTCTCGTTACTACACTGGACCACACGGTTGGCAGCCTCCTGAATTCTTCGCTCCTTGGATCACCGTTCAAGAACCCTGTCCACCCTCCTCCTTCCACTGCACCAACTTCTGAAAACCCTGGACCATCTTATCATCCTGGCACACCATTATCCACCATCATCTGCCTCACGGGTAAACAACTATTTGGTCTCTCCGCTCCCCACCCTCTGGTGGATCATTCTATCAACCCAGTAAGGCTGAATTATTATTCTTTAGTTTTGACCCTGAGAATTCCCTGCTTACCATTCTGTTTATTTTTACAGTTGGTTTCCCGGTTCCAGTTCCCCTGCCCGCTTCACTGCACTGTAAATAAACACCTTACCGTAAAACTCTGTCTCCTGAATTGCTTTCTGCATGTGGGTCAAATCCGTTAAAAACAATATGACATATGGAGCATAAGAACTGAATGAACTCCCATAAAACTGCAAAAATGCTGAAACCCTGAGCTCTTTTAAATCAAGGTTAAAACCCCATTTGGTTAGAGTTGCCTTTGCCTGTTCTATTCAAAATATTAACTGAAACATTAATCTTTGTCTGTAGTCCAACTTTTCTTTACCTGCCTTTATTAAGCCACTGCAATGTACTTTTGTCTGTGTTTTGCTCCCTTATGCTCTATTCATGTAAAGCACTTTGAATTGTCTTGTTGCTGATATGTGTTACACAAATAAACTTGCCTTTCATTGCCCTGCCTAGATTGGTTTTCTTCTTACTTATCTGGGAGGGCTTTTTCTGTGACAGCAAACAATTAGGCTCAAATTTAATATAACAATTATGACTATTTAAAATACTGAACAAAGCTGTACTTTACAGTAGAAACACGATTCAAAGTTGAAACAGGTCACAGAAAGCTGATGGGTTTGACATTTTTATGTTTTGATATGTTGTTTTTTGTTGTTTTAATTTTATACACAGTCAAATATGTCCTGTAGAAAAGATGTGGGCTGAGCTGTAAAAAATAACTGGTCAATCTAGAGAGATTGTTTGGAGAGAAATTGTCAAAGATCCTTCTCTCTTTATGTTCCAACCATGTATAATGTTTGGTTAAGAAGACTGAGTGCTACCCTTCTGGTAAATGGAGGTTTTACCAAGTGCTGACAGCAGGAGCTCCAACAATAGTGCCACTGATGATTCTGTTAAAACAATACTAGGTTTATTCCTAAACCAAACATGGGATTTGTTTCCATAATGTAACCAAATTAAATTAAAGGTTGGATTTTTGCTAAATTATAAAGAGTATGCTGCTTCAGTAAGAAAATCATCTGTAGCTACATTACTACCCATCACAATTCTTTCCTAAATTGAGATGTGTTCAAAACCCTCAGTCACACGTTTACAATACGTTGTTCCACCTAATCCCAGCCTTATGCACTTTGCTGTCTGCATCCTAACCCTCCTTTTTTCCTCCATCCTCCTCTTTTTACATCACTGCTGCCCTGTCCTCTGTCGCTGA